GGTGCCTGGACTGACCACTGAGCCCAGAGGGAGCAGACGTTCAGGCCTGGGAGGTGCCGTTCTGGCATCATTCAGTAGAGAGAAAACTGAGAAGGGCCCGGCCGGTGGGGCTCAGGGGTTGAGCATCTACCTATGAACCTAGTGTCATGGTTTCATCCAGGTCAGGGCACAGGCCCGGGCTTTGGGCTTGGTCCCAGTGTGGGGTGTCAGGAGGCAGCTGATCATCAGTGATGTTCTTTAATCAGTGATGTTTCTCCCACCCCCTTCCTTCCTCTATGAAATCAATTAAAATATCTTATTTAATAAAGAAGTAATATGAAAATTGAGTGTCAAACACCCGTGTCACAAGATGGCCCGTGCACGTCGTCACAAGATGACCACCACCAGATCATCACAAGATGGCCGGCAGGCGAGGGCAGTTGGGCGTGACCAGGCCTGCAGGGAGGGTAGGTGGTGGGGGGCAGGTCTGCAGTGGAGGGCCGTTGGGGGTTATCAGGTTGGCAGGGGAGCAGTTGTGTGTCAATCAGGCCGGCAGGGGAGTGGTTAGGGGCAATCTGGCAGCCAGGCAGGTGAGTGGCTAAGAGCCAGCAGTCCTAGAATATGAGAGGGGTGTCTGACTGCCTGTTTAGGCCCGATTCCACAGGGTCTAATCCATCAGTCTGGCATCCCCTGAGGGGTCCCAGATTGGAGAGGGTTGGGCACCGGGCCTCTAGTATTAAATAAATTTTTTAAAAAAGATTGAGAAACACTCCGAGGGGCAAACACCCAGGCAAACTCAGAGGTGGCGGCCTTGAGCTGCATCCCTTCACTGAAAGGTGGTGGGCACTGACACGCAGGCTCTCCCAGCTGGGGTGAGCGTGGTCCCCCCCGCGGAGCTGGGCCATGGCTGCCCCGCGATTCCGCTTCCCGGAGGCCGAGCATCCCGGCTGTGAGAGGTAACACCGACTCCTTTCTGTCCTGGTCCGGCTTCCCGGAGGATGTGGGGGCAGACAGGCATCGGGCAGGTTGGGAGGGTCTCCCTCTCGGGCGTGTGTGGGGACGAGCGTGTGTGGCCGTGCGAGGACCTCGCTGCCCTTGGGGACTTCCTCAGACTCGTTATCAAACGAGGAACCACTGGCCTGAGAGGCCCCGGCGGCTGGGACGAGGTGGAGACTCCGCGAGGGAGACACACAGAGGAAGAAGCCCTTTAGCGTCTGTACTACTTGTTGCTGCGGAACAAGTTACCCTGTAGGTGTGCGAGGCCCCGAGAGCTTGTCTTGTAGAAAGTTCCCGGGTGTCCCGCTTGGCTGGGAACAGGCAGGCCAGTGGCCAGGCCAGCGCTGGGGCTGCCTCCTGCCTCCTGGCTGCCACGGGGCTCCAGACCGGCCTCCCCTCCCTGGGCTCCCGGGGCCCATCCCCCCACAAAACAGC